GCACAGTACTACCAGCAGCAGGCCGCCTACCAGCAGTACTACCAGCAGCCTCCGCCGCCGCGGCCGCCGGCACAGTAGGCGCGCGCAGCCGCCCCGCGGCGCTTGCGACTCTGGTGTGGAGTGCCGAGACGGTGTGCTGCGGCACCTCAGTAGCTACCGCGGCGGGGATAGCTTTCATTGTGGATGGGTTGATAGCTTTCATTGTGGATGGTTTGAAAAAAAAGCCAAAAAGCCATCGTCGGCATGCGCATGGCGGGGGGTCCGGCGTGTGTCCCCTGTCGCCTGTCCCGCGCTCCGTGGGCTTGTCTCCCCCCCTGGTTTTGCCTTGAGCTTGACGAGACTGTGCGGTGTCCTCACGGGAAGTTTATGTGCGCCCGGAGGGCGGAGCCGGAGTGCGGAGGCCCGAATATCGCGCAGGATTCGCGGTTAGGGAAGGGTTAAGACATAGACTGGGTCCAGCCCTGGGTGGCGCAAGATCTGACGTTCTGTGACAATCGTCAGATCCGTGTTTTTCTCGTTGTTTTGTCGCTCGCTCCGCTCGCCACCTCACGCTCCGTAGTCCGGCCATGGCCAGTACCCCGCGTCTCAGTGAGACGCGTGGTACCATCCAACTCCGGTCGAAGGGCTCGAATGCGCTCAGCCTCAGGAGGAACAAAACCACGCAAATTCTGCGCGCCTCGCTGCGCCGCTGGCTTGACTGAATCAGGCAGCAGGCTGCTGCTGCTGCTGCCACAGCAGCAGTCTGCTGCGGCCCTAATACGCAAGTTAATGACTAGCAGCACTGCCGGGGGCATACGAGCCGCCACAGCCGGTGTGCGGCCGTGCACTGCCACCTGCCTGCGGCTACGCACAATGTGCGCTCGCATTGGATGAGCCCTGCTGATGGACCTGCGTCGCCTAGCTGCACGAGAGCAATGCCGCAGGCGGTGGCCGTGGCATACACTGCGAGCACACTCGGTGCAGCTGCGAGGTGCAGCAAGAGCACGTCGTTCCTGCCTCTGATGCCACTCTCGCGGCTTGTAGCGCGTCACTCGCGCATGCTCTCCAGGAGCTATGGCGGGCGCGTGTGTGGGGCTGTAGCCTGTGTTTGGCCGGTTCTGACCCGTTTACTATCAGTATCATGCCCGGGCCACAAAAAATCGCACACGGGTAGCGGCTCAGGGGCCCAGTAAGTCGCGGAATCGCCAAATGTCACAACCTGCGCCACCCAGGGCTGGACCTAGTCCATACCGGTTTTTCTTGCCGCAGCTGTGCGCCGGCGGCGACTTGGTGTCGAGCTGCCGCGCGCGCAGAGGGATCCCAGGGAGGCGGCGGCGATTAGCGATACTGACGACGGCAAAATTGTCGCGGAGGGCGGCCGTGGCGACGGCGATTCCAACTCCGACGGCGGCGACAGCGAAGGCTCCATGGAGGGCGGCGGCGCCGGCGAGCTCATCTACTCCCGCTGCCCTTCAGCCCACAGCTCGACCTTCCTGGGCAGCAGCTGGTTCGACAGGTCCTCCCCGTGGCCTAGGCTGCCGTACTCGCGCTGGCCCAAGGCAAAGACAGCGCCATCGGCAGTAGTGGCGAGGCTGTGGACTCCCGCCGACACAGCGACGACGCGCCGCCCAGCAAAGGCCTCGATCTTCTTTGGCAGCGGCTGCCACTGCTCGTCGCCGTGGCCCAGCCTGCCAAAGGTTCCATTGCCCCAGCTCCAGACGCTGCCGTCGGCGGTGATGGCGAGGCTGTGGATGCCTCCCGCCGACACGGCGACGACGCGCTGGCCAGCCAAGGCCTCGATCTTCTTGGGCAGCAGCTGGCGCTGCTGGTCGCCGTGGCCCAGCAAGCCTTCGCCTCCATCGCCCCAGCTCCAGACGGCGCCGTCGGTGGTGAAAGCGAGGCTGTGCTCGGATCCAGCCGACACAGCGATCACGCGCCGCCCAGCCAAGGCCTCGATCTTCTTCGGCAGCAGCTGGTGCTGCTGGTTGCCGTGGCCCAGCTTGCCGTAGGTTCCCCCACCCCAGCTCCAGACGGCACCGTCGGCAGTGAGCGCGAGGTTGTGGCTGGCTCCAGCCGACACAGCGACGACGCGCTGCCCCGCCAAGGCCTCGACCTTCTTCGGCAGCAGCTGGTCTTGCTCGTCGCCGTGGCCCAACCGGCCAAAGCCTCCATGACCCCAGCTCCAGACAGCTCCGTCAGCGGCGAGGGCGAGGCTGTGCCCGGCGCCAGCTGCCACGCTCACGGCGCGCTCGCCGCCCAGCGAAGTAGAAGGGAGTCGGGTCGGCGTGTTGAGCTGCGTCACGCCCTCGCCGTGACCGAGAAGGGCTGGGGTCCAAAACTGAGCCTTGCCGCACGACGAGAGCCGCCCCTCGCCGTCAATGAAGAGGCTGTGGTGCATGCCTGCTGCACGCCTCGCCGGCGGGTTGGACTCACGCAGCAAGGCAGAGTAGCACAGCCACCGCACGGCGCAGCCCTCGCCCTCTGGCAGCGCCGGAAGCTCGAAGCCACGCTCTCGCGCCCACAAGCCGATGCCCTCCACCGCAAGCGAGGCGTGGAAGAGATGCGAGACGGCCGCGACGCGAGCGATGTCGGCGGGGCTGTCGAAGCGAGAGAAGACGCGCGCAAGGAGCTCCGTGGGGAGGTCGAGGAGGTGGGCGGGCGGCGGCGTGTCTGGCGAGGGAGCGGCAGTGGCGGCGGTGGCGAGGCGGCGCGAGCGGCGGCGCGGCGAAACAGACATCGCGAGGAAAAGAATTTTTGATGCGCCTATCTCCTCCCATCCCTCCCTTGGGTTGTCTGTTTTCTTTCTTTCTTTCTTTTTCCTGCCCTTGGGTTGTCCGTTTTCTTTCTTTCTTTCTTTTCTCCAACCGGCGGGGAAACATCGCGAGAAAAAAGAAACCTAGCGTTAAATTCTTCAAGGCTGACGCACGGTCACCATTCGCCGAAGAGAGAGAGAGAACTCTCCCATTCGCCGCAGGTAGGTAGGAGGCGGCGCTCCTTAGTCCCTAATGACAAAATCTCTCTCGCTCTCTCTCTCTCTCTCTCTCTCTCTCTCTCTCTCTCTCTCTCTCTCTCTCGCTCTCTCTCTCTCTCTCCCTCCCTCCCCCCCTCTCTCTCTCTCTCTCCCTCCCTCCCTCTCCCTCTCTCCCTCTCTCCATCTCCGTCTGGAAGTCGTCCCACCGCTTCGCCACCTCGTCGCACTGCCTCTTCAAGTGCTCGCCGAGCGGCGCGAGCATCTGAGCCGCCCGGCCCGCCGGCTCCGCAATGGGTTGATGCAGCACCGCCGCCACGAGGGCGCTCCGCCTCCGCTTCGCCAGGCGCGCCGTGGTGTCCGTCGCCGCGAGCGGCGCCAGCAGCGCCGCCTGCTCCGCCGTCCGCTCCTCTGCCGCCGCCAGCTCCGCCTCTCTGGGCGCCTCCGCACGTTCCTGGTGCTGCACGGCGCGCAGCTCGCCCGCCGCGCGCCTCGCCCTCTTGGTGATCGGACGGCCGTGCGCGAACGGGTCGTCCGCGTCGCCCGCCGCCGCCCGCCTCTCGTGCGGCACGGTGTGCAGCGCCTCCGCCGGCCACGCGAGCCGGATTGCCGCGCCGCGGCCCTCGCCCAGCCGCTGGAATGCTCCGCCGCCTTCGTTCGCCTTATCAGCCGCTCGGGCCGCCGCCGTCAGCGCCGCGCCCTTGCCGACGAACAGGAGCGGATTCGGCATCGCAAGCCGAAGCGAAGGCGACGTCGTCGGCCATCAACAACTTTGCCTGACGAGCAATCGCCTCCCTTGGCTGACACGCTCGGCGTGCCACCTTCCGCCGGCGCTCGCCTTTCGCCTGACGCACAATCGCGCCACTACCAACATACATATGTAGTAAGGTGAAGAACAGTCAGGCTCGGACTGGACACCAACGCGGTATGGGTGGACGCAAGACAGATGATGACGACACGCACGAGCGACACACAGACACAAACAAGCTCACAAGACACACAGCCAGCGGGCTGCCACACATCCTGAGTGGGCGTAACCCCGTATTCGAAAAAAGAAAAAAGAAAAGACGCTCCCGCCAAACGATGGCGTCTCACAACGGACTTGAGTGCTGGATGTGCCTTGGCGGGGCGACGCACGCCTGCCCGCGCTGCGACGTCGCATACGGGACCGCCGTCTGCCTGACGTGCTTTGAGAAGGCGGCCCGCCAGGCCGACACGAAGCGCAAGCTTGGCCGCCTACGGCACGACGCGCTCGACTGGTCCGGCGCGCCGCGAGGAGAGCGGCCGCTGCGGCCGGTCGACATGGCGACGACGCCAGCTTCGCCGTGCCAGAGCTGCACGCGCGAGTGCCTGCAGTCACAGCTGCGGCTGCTTCCGGCGCCCGCGCCGCCGCTCGCTGCAGGCCCCGGCGGCCAGCAGGCACCGCCAGTGCCGGTGCAGGTGCGCAAACCACACCGCAGATTCTGAGTCGCGCGCGGCTGTCTCTCTTCTCACGCTCTTCGCCCTTCGCCCGCCAGGTGCCGGCTGTGGAGGCGGCGGCGGCGACGGCCGCGCCAGCGACGCCGGCCGAGCTCGCGCCGCTGCCTGCGGAGGCTGCCTCGCCGCCGGCAGGCGGTGCGGCGGCGCCCTCTGCGGGCAGTGCGTCCTGGCTCACGTTCCTCGGGACGGCCACCGCGTGGGTTGGGGGGGCCGTGCTCGAGGCAGCGGCGGAGGGCCTCCGCCGAGCAAAGCGGCGGCGATGCGAGGGGGAGCAGAGGGAGGGAGGGGGGGGGGGGGAGGACGAGGCGCCGCCTTTCGGCTCGAGCGGGCGGGCGCGCCTCGGCGGCCCCTCCGCCGACGAGGCGGGCGGCGGTGGCGCGCCGCCGGCCGCGCCGGCCGCGCAGGCCGCCGTGCGCACCATCACCGCTGCAGGCGCCGAGGCAGTTCGGCAGGCAGACAGGGAGGGGCTCTCCCTTGCCACGGGCGGGAGCAACAGCGGCTACAAAGGCGTGACCTACTGCCCGAAGAGGAAAGGCAGCAAGAAGTACCAGCTGATGGCGACGGTTGGAGGCAAGAGTGTCTTCCTCGGCTGGTTCGCCACCGCCGAGCAGGCTGCGCTCTTCTACGCCCGCAGGGAGGCGGGCAGGGACACCAGCGATCTCACCGCGCCGCCGCCACCGCCGCCGCCGCCCGCACCTTCCTCTGCCGCTGGCGCCGACGCAGTTCGGCAGGCGGGGAGGGAGGGTCTGAGTCTGGCAACGAGCAGCAGCAGCAACAGCGGCTACAAAGGCGTGTACTACTGCCCGAAGAGGAAAGGCAGCAAGAGGTACGAGCTGAAGGAGTCGGTTGGCGGCAAGGTGGCCAGCCTCGGCTTTTTCGCCACTGCCGAGCAGGCGGCGCTCTTCCGCGCCCGCAGGGAGGCGGGCAGGGATACCTCCTAGAGAGAGACACGAGGCGATGGAGAAGAGGTTCGCCGCCGAACTTTCGGTCCGGCGAGCCTTCCCGCCGCCGGGTCGAGGCCCCAGCGCAGTGACTGTGGGTGAGAGACGAAACGAGAGGTGTGTCCGACTCGATCCGAGAACACTTCGACATCAAACCATGGCTCTCAAGCAAGGTCCGACAACGGCACGTGCGTCTTCTTTTTTCTCTGTGTAGCTCAGTGGGCCGAAAGAGCGTACCGAAAGAGCCGCGAAGATTTACCCACAGGCGCTGCCTGGTTCTCTCGCATCGCCGTGCCGCTCTCGCCTCGCCGTGCCAAAGCCAACCATCTTCGTCGCGGCCACGCGGCAGCATGTCGGAAAGACCACCGTCAGCCTGGCGCTGATGAGCGGCCTGCCATGTCGGAGTCGCTCTTATCGCGCTTCTTCTTGGAGCACTTGGAGCACTTGGAGTGCAGTCATTAACCGCACACCCAGGGCCGGGGAGCTCAGAAGCGCACCCAGCGGGCCGGATGATTGGCATCGGGTTACGGGCTAGAGAGCCCTAGCCCCGGGGGTGCGCGTTCGCAGGGAAAGGGCCGTAAAGTAAACACGGGTCTCCGAGGGTTGGCTCCGCGCTCCAGGTTTCCCCTAGCAGCAGACCGCCCCCTCTACTCGGAGCTATAATGAACACCAGACATGCACACGACACGCACTCTCACACGACGTCACCGCTCAGGGCCTCTTCGTTCGCGCAAGGTCCTCATCCTCACTCCGGAGGAGGCTCCCCTCTCCTCTGAGTTCTTCCTCTTGTTCGCCTTCCGATGATCGTCTGACGGGCGCGGGGCCCGGCCTCCCCTCCTAGCCTTTTTCAGCCGCGGCCCCGCCACCGCCTCGTCTTCTCTGTCCGATTCTGTCGCCACGACGGTGT